GGTGAGGCGGCGGGATAAGATGGGGCACTGGTCTGTGGCAGTGACGATCAGGGTGTAGCGGCCGTGGCTGATCTCGTAGTCCAGCTCTTTGGCAGTACTGATGACACCCTAGGGGACACATGGAAGGGACAAGGATGGATCTAAGGGTGGTAGGTCTGGGGCACCCTCTGACCAATTTGGGAAGTAGGCCCTGACATTGGAGCCATGATGAGGAACCACTGCTACCCCCTAGCCCAGGTTGCACTCCACCAAACTTTTCATCCTCCCACACTGAGTGCCCCCACACTTTCCCCTAGACTGCATCTTTGCTCCACCCCCCTACAGTGTCACTGAACTCCTTGCCAGTCCCTGGAGAGGTTTCGCCCCCTTGTCCTGATCCTGCCATCAGCTGCTGACCATGTGTCTGTCGATGCGGAAGGTGTTGATGATGTTGCCTGCGACGATGGCATAGATGACTGTGCCATTGGGACCCTCGTCCAGGTCCAGTGCCTGGATGGTGATGAGGCTGGTGTTGAGCGTGTCTGGGCCCTCATCCAGCAGCACCTCATAGTGGGGCTGCTGGAACATGGGCGCATTATCATTCTCATCCACAATGGTCACGTACACGTGCGTGGTGGCCTGTGGAAAAGAGTGGGTCAGGTCCTTGGTCAGGTGGCCAGAGGGACTGAGGTGGATCCAGATGGCTGGGCTGAACTCAATGTGACTCACACAGATTGGGCAAGGGAGAAGAAAGCAGGGGGGAAGTCACAGGCTGACAGAGAAAGAAAGCTCAAAAGCTCCACCCAAAGCCAAAGCAAGGTAACTGCTCTGTCCTAGATGGCACTTGCATCACCACTCCTATGTCTGCGACCCCCCAGCAGACATAATTAATCAATCACAGAACTGCTGAGGCCAGATGCAAACTTGGGATCCTTGTCAGCACAGTGCTCTAGTGATTAAGACTGGCATATGGGATGAACCCTGGTAGTCAACCCAGCTCAGAGCTTTACCAGGGCCTGTGTCTTATTGAGCCTAAGTGTCCTGCCAGATTGCAAGAGGCAAGAATGTGAGACACCCGACCCAATGCCCTATTTATGCTTCATCTCATGTAAGTGAAAGAAATACATATTTTCAGCATTTTCAGAAGGAGGACATTGGGTTTGTGGCAATTTCGGGAGCAGAATTTTTTGACCTGTGAAAAATAAGACTACAGAACATAAATTCATTACAAGAACAGCTTCTACAACATACTCTCCTGTGATCTACCATCTCTGCCAATGCTTGGGTCAACTGGACCACAAATAATATTCAGCTAATCAGAACTCAGCAATCAGCACTCAAGAATCAACTAGAAATGGTTCTTGCTCCCGCTGCCTGCCTTTCTCCACCTGGGAAGATGTCCCTTGTGGACTGACTGCCTTACCCTGGCTCTCTTGCTATCCAGCTTCCTGCTGGGCGTGGCCAATGGGAGGCCCTGGCAGAGGATGAAAGCAACAGGGAGAAAGAGGCGGGGGTGTTTCTTCCACACTCCCTCCATTCCCCACTGCGGTTCTGCCCATGGCTGTGTTTCTCCTGCTTGGAGACAGGGGTCCCCCTTTTATAGCACCAGTTTTCACTGGGCTCCAGAACATCACTTCCTCTTCTTTCCCTTTGGATTCATGAGTGGTAGTGGCTTCCTGTGGTTGGTGATAGTCTCTGGGTGCTTCACCAGCCTTCCTAAACAGTCCCTGTTTTACAGTCTCTTCAGCTGAACCCTTTCTGAGTGTGCCATCTGTTTCCTGCAAGGACCCTAACTAATACAAACCATAATGAGTGACTAAAATAAAACAATAAGGTGTTAATCACTGCAAAGGTGTCTGGGTAGAGAGAATGTGACTAGGCCATTGCCAGGCCATTGCCAGGCCAGAGAACAGAAAGCAGGTGGTACAGACAACTCAGTGTAGGCAATTTGCATATGGTTTTTTTCCTTGGGACTGGCTGGCTCTGGAGCTACCAATGGAAGGATGGACAGATGGGCAGGGGATCTGGACCCAAGAAGGCTGTCACTGTCCCTGAGGAGGCAATGATTCCTCTGAGATGCAGCTCTGGATCTTGGGGGTGGAGGGTATTGGGTGTTTGTTGAAACGGTTTCCAAAGCAGGTAGGGTTGGCAGCCTTGAAAAGGAGCTGTGTGGCCTTGGGCAGGTCACATCCCCTCTCTGGACCTTTTCTGTCTGTTTAATAAAGGACCTGGCTTGATTTCTAAAGTTGTTTCTAGCTCAGATGTTCTGGGTTTCTGGTCTGCTGTCATCAGCTAAGTGGACTAAAGTCCACCATTAGGGAGGCATTCCTTTGGGTTGCAGGGTTCCAACGAATCTTAAAATAACAAGCATGCAATGGGGGAAAATGCATTATTTTAACATTTCTCAAACTTTTCCACCAGAGTGGAGAGGGAACTTGCACAGTCTGAGGACTGGCCTAAATGATTTGTCTCCAGAATGAAATATCTTTGCAATCTCTCATGTTCTCTTCGAAAGCTCATGTGGATTTTACATCCTTCTCTATCATTGTTCCTGCTTGTTTTCCTTAAAAATAGTGGTGGAGGCCCCAAATATTCAAATAAAGATGACTGTCAAGGAAAGCCACCATGTCCATCTTGTGGCTCTGCAGGACCTGCAGGCAGCTGTGAGTACTCACTACTGGTGAGGGGCCCAGCCTCGAACCCTCCTGAGTCCCCTTACCTGCCGGCAAGAGTACAAGAGCACCACCTTGCAGGAAAGGGGCTGAATTCCAGCCTCCCTGTTGGGGAGGGAATGCTGACATTTCCCACTTTCCCAAACTCACCTCCCAAATTCCCTGGAAGTGGGTCTAACCATTGTGTAGGCTGCAGGGGAGGGGAGTGAAGAGTTTGAACAGAGTTGTGCCTTGGAGCCCCTCCTGCTCTGAGACCAGGTCTGGGCTTGAGAAGGGAAGGTGGGTTTGATTTCCTCTGGTCTCTGGAGGGAGGAGAAAGTCAGTGCTCCAAAGGCCCTCTAAGCTGAGCCCTTCCTGTCCTGTCCTGGTGTTGAGGAAACAGCGCTTGAGGTTTCTGGACCATGGTCCTTGGGCAATGCCTGTATCACCCTGATGCAACCCCAGGAGGCTTAGTGGTGGGCAGTGTGGCAGGGAGAAAGGAAGTGAAAAGGGGGAGGGAACTGGGCCCAGCTCAGAGGCTCTAGCCCCCTGCGGAAGGGTTTGGCAGGGCAATTGCTCCCCTTTCTCTAATTCCAGGTTCTCCCCAGCTGCTAGGCCCCGGGGCAGAGGGAGTCTGGTTTCAAGGGTGTCCTTAGCAAGGCCAGTCCAGGAAGGGTTGAGATGGGGTGGTGCTCTAGGGTCTTGCCCTTAAGGGACCACCCTCACCTGTGCCAGAGGATGTCAGGGTGAGAATGGCCCAGTGTCCACCTGATCTCAGTTGGCTTTGTACCTCCCCTGGTGGAAGGGAGCTCACGCTGTGCCAGCAGGAAGGGCCTTGGGCTGCCTCCCGAAGTGGGGTCACAAGGCCAGGAGCATGCCCAAGGACCTGGGTTATGTCCTGGCAGCCTCTGAAGCTCCCATCCTGGGGGAGTTCCCTGGCTCCATAGGAACTGGGCCTGCACAAGGTCACTTAGTAATAGCATGATGCCTCAGCCTTCATCTGTTGTAGCCTTTCCTGCCCTGAGAGCAAGGGCTACGGGCCTCCAGAGAGCCCATGACTTGGATCAGGTCACCCACAAGGCCCCCAGAACTCCTGGCTCCCATTCAGTCCTGTTACCCTGGTTCCTCACCCAGTCAGATTTTGGGTGTCCTCTTCCCCTCAGCCTAGGAGTCACCTATGAACCCAAGATCCCTAAAGGGCCAGAAAAACCCCTGGAAGCTTCAGCTAGACTGGGGTAAACTGAGTAAAACGGCTGTGCTCTTCCACTCCTTTGATCCCTGGCCACAATCACCTCAGCTCCTCCATCACATAATCACTCACTCATTCATCGGTTTGTCCATTCAGATAAAAGTGCAATAAACACCTTCTCCACGCCCAGCTTTGTGCTTGGGACTCGGAAACATCAGGGAGAGGTTTGTAGTTTAGCTCCGGAGGGCAGAAGAGCCGGAAGAAGAACCAACTGCTTGGTTATCTCAGGCAGGAGGTGGTAGCTGAAGGGAGTGTGGACAGTAAGGATTTGCGGGGGGAAAAGGAAGGGTCAGGACATTTTGTGAAGTGGGAGGACTTGAGCTGAGCCCTGAGGGATGAGAACAATTTGGAGAGGAGAGGAGAGACATTCCAGTGGTGCCAGCAGTGCTGGGTGTGGGTGCAAGAGCAGAGGCACTAGAAGTTAGGGTGCATCAGAGTGTCCTGCAGATATCCAGGCACCAGGGAGGGAGGGCCGGTGCACAGCCGGGCTGACAGCTGAGGCCTCTGCCGGAGGTGGGCTTGCAGGATATGCTGTGGGGCACGCCAACAGGTGTTGCCTGCATACCTGTCTGTGTCCCGGGGTAGGGATGTGCTGATCCTGGCGTGCAGTCCTGCATCTGTTCTGTGTGTGTGTGTGTGTGTGTGTGTGTGTGTGTGTGTGTGTGTGTGTGTGCAGGCACCCTGGTGTGTGTGTGCATGCACTCAGGGTGCCTTAGGCTCTGAATCTACAGTTAAACTGGTTCCAGCTTGCCTAGCTCTTCACAATGTTAGATTTCATTCATTCACTCATTCACTCACTCATTCCACAACTGGGAGTGCCTACCACATACCAAGCCCTGGTCTGGCTGGATGATGTAAGGTACAAGTCTCTGTCCCCAGACCACTCAAAGGCTGGTGGCTGAGGGCAGATGAAAGCCATGGTAACGTCTGTCACGCTGTGAGAGGTAGATCTGCTTCTTAGGCTGCGCAGCAATAATAATCTTCTCTCCAAAGGACTGGGGGACTGTAGAACGGGCTTTAAACTGCCGATCAAGTAGAGTTGACTCGCTGGGACGCACACTGGCTCCCCACCCACGGGGCCGGTCTCCGGGAAGCCCCTCCTCTGAGAGGCAGTTCCCCCACACGCCCCGCCGGGGGCGCTGCGCGACGGGGGCGGGTGCCTGGAGCGCGGCGCTGGGGCCGCCCGCTGCGCTCACTCGCTCGCACTCGCTCGCACTCACTCGCGGGAGGCTTCCCCGCGCCGGCGGCGTCCCGCCCGCTCCCCGGCACCAGAAGTTCCTCTGCAGGTCTAACGGCGACATGGGCGTCCCCACGGCCCCGGAGGCCGGCTGCTGGCGCTGGGGATCCCTGCTCTTCGCCCTCTTCCTGGCTGCGTCCCTAGGTAAGGTCGGGGGAGGCGGGGCGCTGGGGAAGAGCTGGGAGAAGACAGCAGACTGGAGTGGGAACTGTGGGATGGGGGCGTCCTGGGAGCCCTCTCAGCCTGTGTGACCGTGCACCCCACTCCACCCACCGCCCGGAGGCTGCTGGGACCACTGGGCAGGGTGCAGTGGCGACTGTGCCAAGTGTCCCAGATAGGCATCAGGCACATCTGCATGCTCTGATAGCTGCCCAAGTGGCAGGCAGGGCTGTCCCTTGAGGGCTGCCCAGAGAGCCCCAGGCACAGGTAGCTTCTGCAGAGAAGGAGAGGCACAGGGTGGGGGTGGTCAGTGTGTTCTGGTGGATGTCACCGGCTTTTGACAGCTGGCATCTTTTTGCCCCTCTAGTCTCAGGGCTCTAGTGCTGCAGAGGACACAGAGGGCGTGGTATGCTCTGCCCTGGTGAAACCCCTGGCTGAGCCTTGGTGGGCACTGGTCACAGTGGGCCCACTTTCAGACACAGAGGCAACACTGCCCACCTGGTCCCGATTCTAAGGGTCTGATAGCCCAGGAATAAGTGGTCAGCTGATTCCTGCCATCCTAGCAAGGCTGCCACTCAGGGACCAGTGTGGGGTACTGGGGAGGATGTGGGACACTCTCCAGCTCAGCCACGAGCCCCTTCTAGGTCCCTGGATAACTTAGGGCATCTCTCTGGTCTCAGTTTCCTCAGCTCAAACACAGAAGCCCACACAGGGAAACACCACTTTCCCCTTCCAAAGTCCAGACTGTCAGCATGTTCAGACAGTAGCCTAGCCTGAACACAGGGGTTCCTGGGCTGGGGGCAGAGGCCCTGGTACCCATGGCCTGGTTGCCTGGTTCTTGCCTGCCCAGAGCTGAAGAGGCTGGATCTCTTCAAAGAGTCTGTGGAACCAAACTTTATGGGGAGGGCCCAGGGAAAGTATGAGTCATGCAGGGACTCGGAGGGAGGCAGGAGGGAGGTGGAGGGCTTGGCAGAGGGACCCAATGGGCGGGATGGAACAGAAGGAGAGGGTGACGGGATAAGAGGGATAGGAGGAGGCTGAACCTGGAAGATACCTCAGCAACCTGGGTGCCCACAGGCTGCCGGCTATCTCAGCACTTGGAGGGTGGCCTGGGCCTCTGAGGAGGAGGAGGGCTCCACATGTCGCAGACACAGCTGCCTAAGCCCCAGGGTGGATGCTCCTCAAGGTGACAGTCAGAGGGAAGAGGAGAACGGGAGGTGGAGTGGACAGTCTCAGCACCAAGGCCACGGCTTACGGCAGGGCATGGCTTCCAGAAGGAACAGGGGACGGTGGCAGGCAGGCAAGTCAGCATCCCACCTGTCATGGGCCACCTGCCCTGCCCTGTCCTCCCAGGTGACCCTGTGAGACCCTTCCTGCTTTCTTGCCCACTTCCTGCCCTCACTTGGCTGGGCTGCCCTCTGCTCAGCAGCCCCAATTTGAGAAACAGTTCTAGAGATCCAGGGCACAGGGACCCAGCTTGCAGAGCACCCAGTAGCAGAGAGGCCCCAAGAGGAGCTCGGGACGCCTTCCCCTGTATTGCTTATATGGCCATGGGGCCTTTACTCCCAGAGGTCTTGGCTACTCAAACAACATGGTACACCAAAGAGCCATCTCTTCCTGGGCCCAGCACAGGGAGATGATTTAGGCTGGCTGCAGCTTTCCACTGAAAGGAGTCAGAAGCATTTGAATTGCTCTGGGACCTCAGTATTCTGAACTGTGACATGGACACACTATAATAGATATTGACCCAACTCCCCAGGACAGTGTGCACCGAGGGGCTAGCAGATGGGAGGCCTGGTTGCAGGCGTGGCCAGCAGGATCTGTAAGTTGAGAAGATTGATCACCAGCCTGCCGAGGTGCTGGGTTGCCCTGGGTATGTTGCCCAAGGTCAAAGCCTTTATGCCAGGAAGGTGAGATAGAGTGTCCGGCACCAGCCTGTTCTGCAGCTCTTGGGTTTGGGCCAGCACTGAGGAGAATGGTAGTAATGAATGTGGTGTTCAGAAGCCCAGCAAACACCAGAGATACTCCTTTCCTGGGCCTGACTCAGGGTGAGATGGGTGGAGAGGTACACTTGGGACCAGGACCCAGCAGATCTCAAGGGTGGCAGAGCCTCTTCTTCCCCACAGATATTCCCAGGACCTGAGGCAGTTACTGTCCTTGCCCTGTCCTCATGGGTTGACTCAGGAGTCCCAACCTCTGGGATGAGCACATTTAAGTTCATAGAAGTGTACTGGGGTTAGGGACGAGAGACCCCATCTTCCTCTTCACAGCAAACCAGGCTGCAGGGCCTTGTTGAGTAACCCAGTGCTGCAAGCCTCTGACGCAGCAATGGTCAGCTCTTAGGAAATCCACAACCCACTGCCCAGAGGCTCTGGAGTAGAGAGGAACAGCCTCGAGGCCAGTCCCTTGCATGAGGGGGCATCTACCCAATGCCAGGGACACCCAAGGGCCAGCAATACTGGGAGCCCCTTGCTGAGCTGTACTGGTTGTTCGTGTTTCCTCCCAAGCAGGGCAAAGGTTCTGCTGAGGTCTGACCTTCCTGGGAGAGGGTGATCCAGGCAGGAGTGTGCTGCTGAGATGCTAAAGGGGCCACCTCCCTATCCGCACACAGTGTTTGGGGTCTTAGGCCTGAGCGGATGAAAGGAAGAAAGAGATCCTCAATGACGACCCATTGGCATACCAAGTATTGAGGTATCAAGCCCCACATACCAAGCTTGAGGCCCCAGGCTTTAGCCAACCAATGATCCAGGGTCAGTCCGGTCTCCCAGGGGAGGGTGGGCCAGGGATCAGCACTGTGGCTTCCAGTGGCCCCACAGATACCCTTAGCAGCAGTCCCGGCACGCCTGTGTATGGCAAAACCAGGGACTTGCATGCCAGGGCTTCCGTACAACCCCTTGCTTAACTCTTGGGCTTTGCGAGTCACTCAGACCTAGGCTCAAATCCCAAGATGGCCATTTACTGCTCTGTGATATTGGACAAGTTATTCAGTATCCCTGAGCAGGTTCCCCTACCTCTAAAACGGGGATGATGATAACACTTCCCTTGGAGGGCTACTGTGAAGAGTCAATGAACGAACACTTAACACAGCACCCGGCTGCTCGTGAATACTGTGTAATGTTATGGGATTTCTTGGCTTCTGCAGGCCACATGCCACTGGTTTTCCATCTAAGGTCCTTGCTCTCTACAGGGCCTTACGGAGTGCCCAGGGCCTGGGAACGCATTGGTGAGCTTCACTGGGACTAGATTCTCCAAAACCTGGAGTGTGAAGGGTGCATGGGCTGCATCCAGTTACCTGTGAGCCCCGATGGGTCCTCACAGTCTGAAATGCCCACGGAGGTGCCTACAGGTTCTCCTCTTAAAGTTATCTGGAGATGGGGATATTGAAGGCAAGCCTGGTCCTGGGTTTGCTAATCTTGGTGGGATCTTTCTTACATTTGATTCTTTTACATTCAGTCCATTCACTTTGGCTGGCTATCCCCAAAGACAAAGACAGTGGCCACCATCTTGCTCATCAGTGAGTAATCCAGTAATGAGGTTGCTCTGCTACTTACCAAGCCAAGCAAGCCCATTCCTTTAGCCTTTCTGCATAGGATCTTATTTCCCATGGGGACCTGGGGTCAAACCCTGCCTTTGCTGTTCACTCATCATGGGAACACAAACACACACTTCCCCTTTGCGCAATGGACAGGTTGGGTGACATGGTCTCAGTGAGGCTGACCACCCTCCTCTGAAGGGTAATTCCACACCGGTGTTTCCCTAGCTGCAGTCATTTGCTTATCACCTTTGTGATCTCTGCAGTGTCTGCCCTTTCATAATATTTAGTTATTTTTTCTTTAAATCTATTCATTCTTTTATTTGCGTATGTAGATTTTTAAAAGGAAACTTTTTATCGCTGTCATTAGTGGAAAGCCAGTATCACTTGTCATAAATAGAACAAAACCATAAAAGTACGTAACAGGAAAACCATATAAGGGTATTAAATTCTAGTGGGAAACTTTAGCCTGGGAAGGCTCTGAGTCTGAAAACTGCTGTTTTCCCTTGCGAAAAATTAAAATAAAATAAAATTTTAAAAGAAAAGGAGATTAGCAAGTGAGAGAGAGAGGTTTTAGAGACATATTAGCATCAAACTGGGCCTTTCTCTTTGAAAGGGAATAACCTCTTCTATATATGATTCAATGTTATTTAATGTAAAACCAAAAGTAAAACTATGTGGTAGACGTGGCAAGGCAAGCTGGGCTTTCATTGGTCATGACATTTGTCCATCTTCAGGAAGGAGGTGGGGCCTCCAGTCAGTCCCCAGCTACCTCTAGTCTCTAGAGAGTAGTCAGATGGCACCAGACCTCCAGAGGCTGACTACCTGGGTTCAGATCCCGGCACCATCACTTATTAGTTGTAAGGCTGTGGGCAGGATACTAATCTCTCTGTGCTTCCTTTTTCTCATCTGTAGAATGGAGATGATACTAGTACCTACCTCATAGGGTGAGGGATTACATAAACTAATCCATGTAAAAGTGTTTAGAATGAGGCAGGGCACGGTGGCTCATGCCTGTAATCCCAGCACTTTGGGAGGCTGAGGTGGGAGGATCACTTGAAGCCAGGAGACCAGCCTGGACAACATAACTAGACCCCATTGCTACGAAAAATTTAAAAATTAGCTGGGCATAGTGGCATGTGGCTGTAGTCCTAGCTACTTGGGAGGCAGGGGTGGGAGGATAGCTTGAGCCCACAAGTTTGAGGTTACCGTGGGCTATGATCTCGTTGTCACTGCATTCCAGCCTGAGTGAAGAGCAAGACCCTAGCTCTCTAAAGAAAACCTACCAAACAGCCAGGCACAGTGGCTCACGCCTGTAATCCCAGCACGTGGGGAGGACGAGGTAGGTGGATCACATGAGGTCAGGAGTTCAAGACCAGCCTGGCCAACATGGTGAAACCCCGTCTCTATTAAAAATACAAAAATTAGCCGGGCGTGGTGGTGGCGCCTGTAG